AGCTATAAAAAGAGCAGACGGTGATTATAAAACCTCCTGGCTGAGCGTGTGCAGGCGCTCACGTGCCGCCGCTCACAGATTGGGAGCAGGCAGAGCTTTGGCGGCTTAACGATGGGGTCAGACGGGGGGACGGAGCTGTAACGATCAGACTCTGTCTGGTCTGTTGGGCCTGCAGTCAAACCTGATCAGAACCCCAGCACGCCCTCAGAGCTCATCAGCTTCACACACTACACACATGAATGCACGCTTTCTTTTCCAAAAACCAAGAAACTTCTCAGGGTTTCGCTGTGGCGCCCCCTAGAGGGGGCAGCTGAGAGGATTTGTGGATCACAGCCTCTCTCATTACAGCGAAATGATTTTTATCTGGGTCGGGTTTTAAAAGCGCGAGTTTCACCTGTAGGATCCAACATCTTCCTGTGAGCTGTAATTATTACTAAAGTGTTTTTGTAGTGGATAACTCTGAGAGGGCGCTTCCAGCTTCGCGGCCCAGCGGGGCAGGGGCGCAGGTGATGGGAATCCCCGGGTTCCCGTCCTAGACGAGGGTCAATGATTTTCGCTTTGTCATGCGTCCCGTTTCTGTCCTCCTGTCTCTCCTCAGGTTTCTTCTCCAGTGTTTGGAGGATCTGGACGCCAGCCTTCGCAAGCTCAACTCTCGCCTTTTCGTCATCAGGGGCCAACCAGCCAACGTGTTCCCGCGGCTCTTTAAGGTGAGACGCAGGAAATCCTACCTCGGGGTTAGGGCAGACATGTGACCAGGGCGCTCTGCTCTGCTGCTCCCGCAGCCTGTTGGGAATTCTCTCTCTCTCTGTTTCTCAGGAGTGGAAGATCTCCCGGCTGACCTTTGAATACGACTCGGAGCCTTTTGGGAAGGAGAGAGACGCCGCCATCAAGAAGCTGGCCATGGAGGCGGGCGTGGAGGTCATCGTCAAAATATCGCACACCCTGTATGACCTTGACAAGTGAGTGAGCTTTATTTAACGACGGCGCGGACCCTTGAGAACACAGCGGCGCTGTAAGGGCATTCAGGGAGGGTTGTTTCAAACCGTCATGGAGCCTGAGGTCACATGATCACGGTCATGTGTCATGAGGTTCCTCTTTGCTTCTCCGCAGGATCATCGAGCTGAACGGCGGACAGCCTCCGCTCACCTACAAGCGTTTCCAGACTCTGATCAGCCGGCTGGATCCTCCGGAGATGCCCGTGGAGATGCTGACGGACACGCTGATGGGGCGCTGCGTCACGCCCGTCTCTGAGGACCACGGGGACAAGTACGGCGTCCCCTCGCTGGAGGAGCTTGGTGAGAAATCAAACACACTCACGAGAAAACAACCACAAAGATGGCTGACAGCGTTTCTCGTAGTTGAAACACCAATCAGAATCTCCGTGTACTTGTTCATCCACGCCCTAAAACCAAAACCCAACAACAAACAGGCGAAGATCTATGGGCTCAAGTTGTGGTCATAAATATTTTGTACTTGTAAATCAGGATTTGTAAAAAGAATTTGTGTGTATGTAAAAAAGATCTGTGTGTGGCCAAAAAATACGTCTGAAATTCTGCACTCAAGTTTCAAGTTTCAAGTATGAATTTTGACCCTACTTTTCTTCCTTTCATCCGGTTGGTCAATGTCATGTCAATCACAAATTTAACAATCCAATCGGAGAACAGATGGGTTTGGCTATTGGAGGGGTGCTTTATGGAGCTTCAGGTCCTTGAAGGGAGTAAATGCCCTTTTACATGCCAGCCCAGCGTTTTCCGAAGGAAAACAGTCTGTGGCGGTCCGAGTTTGGTGATTTTTGTGTCACAGGTTTACGTGCTTAATACAGGGACCTCCAGATTCAACAGTGCTGCAGGGGGGGCAGGCAGTGCTGTGGAAATGACAGTCTTCACTAGTGGGGATAGTTACAAAGCTTTCTTTGTTATGAATTAGCATACATGTTTTTATTGAACATTTGAAGATAAAAAAAACTGAAACTCTTGTAGAGGACATAAAGTCCGAGATAGAAACGACAAGGAGCAGGTGCATCTAGTACAGGGACAGCTGCTGCACACAGAGCTCAGCAGCCAGCGCAGCAAATTCTGGATCCTTGGCTTTTAGTTAGCATTAGCATTAGCAGCACATGCTGCGTCCCATGTGAAAGGACCTTCATGCTGCACACTGTGACTCACAGCAATGGTCCCGGGTCAGCCCTGACTTTGTGTTAAACTAATCCTAAAGTAATCATGGTATCTCTAACCACTGATTTAGCACAACTTTATCCTTTCAACAGCTGCTGAAAGTTAGGGGACCTAGCTGCTATCGGATATTTATA